AAAGTAAATTTTTAAAAAAATATTCAATTAATGTAAAAAGTCATTGACAAATTAAGTAAGTCTTTAAGGGGATAGGGGGGTCCAGCTTTTTGTAACAACCAGTAGAAACATTGGTGCTAATGTATGTAACAGTGTCTAACATAAAAAAATGGTGGGGTTTCAATTTGCAAAAGAATTTTAGGTAATTTATGGATTTACTGAACCGATTTTAATAAATAATAACTCGTTTTAATTGTGGATGGTAATTTTGTTTGGATATTTAAAAAGTAGTTATGTTGTACATTTTGTTTATTATAAATCCATAATTTATTATACTCCCAGCTGAATACTCAAGCTTTCGCCCTTCAACGATGGGCCTCTTCAGGAGTTAAGTACTGCAAAAAATTCATTTCATTCACAGTAATATTTTTAAATAGAATAAATCAAAAATATTATAAAAAAAATAGAAAAAAAGAAAACAAATTACACATAACCTCAAAAACTTACCAAGCAGATATCAACCACTAAACATAACCATCGGACAGTTTTATTATAAAAACTGAAAATTTTTTTACATTTTATTAAATTTTTGAAAAAATAAAATAATTTTACGATGCAACTGGATTTTAAACATGTCACACTTATTGAAAAAACCTCCAGCAATAACAATAACATTATTCAAATTTAGAAATCACATTGTAAGTTCAGTGATGATATACGTGATATCTATGTTACCGACATTACCTGAAGGCGCTAAAAACCGAGAAAATTAAAAACTATATAAGATAATGAATCATAAACTATCAAGAACTTAATTTGTATTATGGATCAATGAGTGATAAATATTACTCACAGAAACAATTTCTGACTTTTTATTAATAGAGTTGTTATTTTTAATAATATGAAAACTTTCTTTAAATTTTCTACGTCTGAAATTGGTTTCATTACAAATTATTTTCACATTATCAAACTGAAAAAAATGGTCATTGTCCTGTGAATGTACTACCAATGAGGATTTCTTTCTATCACCATTCTTGCAATCCCTTCTATGTTCATTCATTCGATCAGTAATATATCTACTCGTTTCTCCAATGTAGCATGCACCACATTGACATGGGATATTATATACAACATGGTTTCTATATCTGAAAATAGTCTGATCTTTATTCTTAGAAAAACACCTGAAAGGGTCTCTCTCATACGTGAAGACTACTTTCAAATCTGAGTCTTTAAAAAGGTTTTTATAAAAATATGATAATTCGTCAACAAAAGGTAAAACAATAAATTTGTTTGTATCGTCAGAAACTAAAATACTATCATTATTTTCATTAAAAATTTTTTGAAATCTTACATTAATAAATTTATTAATAAACCAAGTAGGGTAATCGTTCCCCTTGAGGATGTTAAAAACAATCTTCAAATTTTCTTCATAAAATCTTACGTCGGAAAGTTTGACACTTCTGTCTGTAAGCCCATATATAATTGATATCTTATCTTTCATAGACATATCTGAGTTGAAGTTGACATATCGTCCAGAAAAGGTGCCTTTTCTAAACCAGTTAGTGACAAGTTTATTGTTTTCACGTATTATAAGAACATCTAAGAAACTTAAACTATTGTTAACCTCAACTTCTATAGTGAATTGTAACTCGTTTTGTTTGTTACCCAGGTTAAAATCCCCGTACAGGATCCTTAAAGTATCCTCTCGGGATCCTGTGCAGGATCCCGACCGGATCCCGTGCAGGAAATTGGAACAGGGTTCCTGTGCAGGTTCCGATGCAGGAACCTTAACTATCAAATGTTCCTGTACAGGAACACTTGCAGGATCATGTACAGGAAACTTTTTAATTTTTATATGTTAAGCAACATTTGACGAACATAGACTTCATATTTCAATATGTTAGGCTCGTACAACAATGTTGGACAGAAAAATGTATTGCGCATTCGAGAAACTCATAGAAAACTACTGCGCAGGAGTTAAAAATATAAATAAATTAATTGAGGAAACTGTGTAGGATCCTTTACGGGTTCCTTACAGGATTCTTTATACTTAAGTACCTGCAGTTTACAAAACTGGAAAGGTTCCTGTGCAGGAACCTTCACAAAGTTTCCTGTACATGATCCTGCAAGTGTTCCTGTACAGGAACATTTGATAGTTAAGGTTCCTGCATCGGAACCTGCACAGGAACCCTGTTCCAATTTCCTGCACGGGATCCGGTCGGGATCCTGCACAGGATCCCGAGAGGATCCTTTAAGGATCCTGTACGGGGATTTTAACCTGGGTAGCATGTCCTGTGTGAGAATTCATCTGAAAATGGTCAAAAAATTAAAAAAAACATTTTTGCAGACTTGAAAAATACTGAAAAACAGTGTATTTTGACAAAAATTATTGAAACATCTGCTATTTTTTTATTTTAGTCCATTTTTCATTACTCTCTAAATCTGAATCAGCGAAATTTCACTGATTCTCAGCGATAAGTATGCCACTATTTTAAAACAGCGTATATGCGCTAATTAATCAGTGAAGTTTCACTGATTATTTAGTGAAATTTCACTAATTCACAGCGCATATACGCTAATTGAAATAGTGGCATACTTATCGCTGATTCAGATTTAGAGAGTAATGGTGGTGGATTTCTATGCAAGACACCTTCCTTTTTAAAAAGCAGTTTGGATTTTTTGTTTCCGATTTGTCAATCTTGAGATAAACTGTCAGCAATTGGACAACTAACTTTTTGGAGTTTCGATCTGAATGCTGTCTGCAGATTATGATATTAAATAAAAATTAAAAACAAACCATTATTTTTATTCTCCAAATATGTACTAATATAGGCAAAAAAGTTTTTTAAATATTTATCATAAAAGACCTAAGAAATTTTTTTTTTAAATTTGGTCTTTTAAGGGCCTTCTAAAGTCTAGTAGTAGGGGAGACTGGGGTAAACCCGCTCACTTTTTTTCAGATCGGTAAAAATCTAGGAAATTATTCTCTAAATCCAAGTTAATTTATATCATTTGAAAGCTTGTGATTTCTACTAAAAAAATTAAAAAGAGTTTTTGATTTATCTTTTTTAGTTTTACTTAGAGAAACTTTTTAATACACATATACCAAATTTCGAAATCACAATTTTCCAGGGTAAACCCGCTTACTTTATCTTTTCAAGGTGGAACAGTTTTATTTTTTAAATATTAAAATTCGTCTTATTCCCGTCTTAAGTATGATTTATTATTGATAAACTATGAGTTCTATAAACAATTCTATAAACAACAAATTGGTTTAATAAATAATGAATATAGGTTTCATGAATTACAACTATGGATTTAAATAGTGTTATATTTTATTAAGAGAAAGTGAAATGTAGTTACAATTTTGGTTTTAATAAGTCATAAATTGTGTTATTGTTGAAATATAATACGTGAAATTATTTTATTCTAAATTTGAAATTAAAAACTAAGTGAGCGGGTTTACCCCGACTTCACGTGAGCGACTTTACCCCGAGTGTATTCCTCACATTTCAGAATAAATTTAATTAAATCTTTTTGAAATAAGATAAAACTATACATGTACTTCGAAAAAGGACATCCAATAGCAACAACAAAAATTTACCAAATAAATTAAGACTCAAAAATAATGATCGAAAAACTTAAAAATCCAAAAAACGTTTTTTTCTGATACCTCTAAAAACATTTGATTGCCTCTGATTCTATGTTGAATTCATGAAACTAAACGAAAGTTTGTTAATATAAACTAAACTTTCGAGACGGTCTCTGCGTTTTTATAATCTCGAACGACTGGCCAAAACCAACTAAGGGAGCGTTCAGACCTCTGCATGCAAAACTTATGCATGCAGGTTGCCATGGAAGCGTTCAAGAGTGAGAGAGATATAAAAATTTCCTTTCTCTCTCACTCTTATACGTTACGCTAGCAAGCTGCATGCAGTTCTATTTTATACATAAGTTTCTTTAGTTAAATTATTTACTCTGTTTACATAACATATGTAAGTTCCATTAATTACGTAAGTTACTCTTGTTACGCAATTTACTCTGGTTACGTAACTTACATTAATTATTTAAGTTGATCGAGTAACGCATGTCAAGAGAAACAATTTTTCTGTGATTGACACTAAATAATTAAGTATGTTTTTCAATCTTTTGTTTCGAGTCGACACGAAACTTGATTCAATCAGTTAATTTAGTTTCAAGTTGACACTAAACTAATATCTAGACGTTAATTTAGTTTCGAGTCGACACTACGAAACTAAGTAGTTTCAAATACTTTTGTTTTTGGATTATTCAAGAACTAAATAGAAAGTAATTTTCTGTTTAGTTTCGTTTCAGCATCGGTCCCTGTAAGAACGCGAGCTCATTTTACTTGTTCTAAATATTGAATAAACTTTTATATATATCACAATCACAGTTTTTCATTTTTAAGCATAACCCTTCAACAAATACAATTCTGCATATGTGTAACCCAGCAAACACGTTATATAAGAATTCTATAACAGTGAGGTCACAGTGTTATAGAACATTTGTTCCTAACTAGTTATAGATCTGTGATCTAACCTGATTGTAACAGAGTTCTAGAACATAGTTACCGTAAACTGGGGCTATTAGGAACAGATTTCAGCTTTAAAGTTTTGCAACTTTTTTGTGTATTGAAATATTGTCTTAATTTTTTGTTTCTTTTCTTGATCTTAGCGAGCAAATGTATAAATGTAAACAAATGTAAAAACAAAATTAAAAGAGCGAATGGGTGTTTTAAACGTTGCTGGTATCATCAGTTGAGGTCGATGATGGAATCACTGGTGGTTTTTTGCGACTTGTCGGTCCCAACACTCTTTTATACAATTTCGAACTATCTTTGAACACTAAAAACCAAATTAGTGATAAAAAACTGTGGCGACTGTAATCTAATAACATTTTTTATTACACGGAATTTACACGAACAAATAAACACACATACACACACATAATGTAACACACTACATGAGAATGTTGTGGCCGATGCTCTATCACGTGTGGATATGATTGAACCAACACTAGATCTCAAGGAACTAGAGTCTGCACAGAAGAATGATGCTGAATTAAAGAAACTGGAAACTGACAAAACAGGCGCTCTCCATCTGAAGCTCATAAGGATGCCTGATTCAAACGTATCGTTGGTCTGCGATGTAAGTACGGCAAACGCTCGGCCTTATATTTCGGAACCATTCAGGAAGAGAATTTTTAGTATAGTTAACAATCTGAGTCACCCTGGCATAAAAAGTACCGTCAAAATGATAACACAGCGTTATATTTGGCCGTCTGCGAAAAAGGATTGTAGGACTTGGGCGAAAAACTGTGTGAGCTGTCAACGAGCCCAGGTCATGCGACACGTGCACTCTTCACCTGGGACCTTTCAAGTGCCATCAGCACGCTTCGAACACGTCCATTTGGATATTATCATCATGACGAGTTCTGAGGGATGTAGGTACTGTCTTACTTGCATAGACAGATACCCCGGTGGCCGGAAGCTATACCTCTGCCGGATCAAGAAGCTGAGACCGTCGCGCGCGCATTTTTTCGACGTGGATTTCGCGTTACGGAACACCTTTAAAGATTACAACGGACCAAGGAAGACAATTTGAGTCGAACCTGTTTCGAGAACTTAATCATCTGACAGGAACTTCCCATTTCAGAACAACACCCTACCATCCCGAGTCGAATGGAATGGTAGAAAGGCTGCACCGACAGTTGAAGGCAGCTATTAAATGTCACAACAACTCTCGCTGGACTGAAATTCTACCGTCAGTTTTGTTAGGAATCAGATCAGCCTGGAAAGAAGATTTGCAGTCGACAGCAGCAGAAATGCTATACGGACAGCAACTTCGCCTCCCTGGTGAATTTCTATCGTCTACAGCCACCTCTGCGGATGCAAGAACGCAGTCTGCGTTTGTCAAGGAGCTTCAGGAATACATGAGGACATTGCGACCAACACAGGGTTCTCGTCATGGAACTAATGCAACATTCGTTTTCAAAGACCTCAAAACAACAAAGTAAGTGTTCCTCCGCACTGATTCTGTCAAAGCGCCGCTCCAGAATCCATACGAAGGACCTTTCAAAGTTGTTTTGCGGTCAGAAAAAACATTCGTTATAGAAGTGCGTGGTAAAAATATTACGGTTTCTATTGATCGTCTAAAACCAGCATATGTTTCCCAGGACATTATGGTTAACGAAAGTGATAGTGAGGACGATGAAGAGTCACTGTACGTTCGCGACGAACGTGCCTTGGCCCAACAAGTGCCGGTACCGGAACCAGTTCCGGTTCGCCAACCGGAACCGGCCCAGGAACATTTTGTGGAACCAGAAACTCATGCAGTGCCACCTCAAAACGCGGTTCGTACACGGTCAGGAAGACGAGTGAGATTTCCAGATCGCCTCCAAGCTGGTTTTTCGTGACTCAATCACTAGCAGGGGGCTACTGTGGCGACTGTAATCTAATAACATTTTTTATTACACGGAATTTACACGAACAAATAAACACATATACACACACATAATGTAACACACTACATGAAATATTATTATGTTTCTTATATTGAATTCTCGGTTGTGCTCAAATTAATATTAATATAAATTGTAACTTACACAGTTTTCTAAATGTAAATTAAGTTTTCCTTAAAAGTGTTCTGTACGAAACTTTTCTTCCTCTTTACGGTCAACGTGTATACCTACACCGAGACCCCATCATAAAAATCGGTTCGTACAGAATAATAGCAAATATGCAGGCTTAAACTTGCAATTCCCACTCTTTACCACTTTTCCATCTTTTTCTAACATGTAATATTTTTTGGCAAGTTTTCTTTTATCTCTTTTCCCAAGCGACGCCGTGATTTTGTAGTAGCCATTTTTATTATCAGTCTTTGGCCTTTTCTCGTCCTGAGCACAACCGCGCTCCGAGAGCTAACAAATTTTGAATAAATTAATACAATTCTTATAATTTATCTCTGTGTCTATTATTATTTCACGAGTCTTTACCCGACAACCAAAAAACAAAAAAAATTACGAAAAACTTACTTTTTGACAACACACTTTAACAATTCGGAAGAAATAATTGTGTTCCTTATATACATACCCGCCGTTTGTGAATTTTGTTTTTTGTTTCTTAAATCTTACTGTAAATACAAAATAAACATATTTATTACTTAGTGAACTCAATAAAGTTTCCCATATGAAATCCCATTAATAAAAAATAATCACATTGAGAAGATAAAAGTGAAACAACTTACCTCAGCAATCAAATGTTTTCCACGTTTGAAACTTCACTAAAACACATTAAGTCACTAACAAGCTACTATTGTTCACAAAATAATTAATAGTCACAATTATTGCATTAAAAAGTGTTGCCAGTTACCGCAGCAACAATTTTTCAAAAGCAAGTAAAACAATTTATCGATGAACGGAGCCGATAGCATCAACTCCACCCGAAAACAGAATTATGTTCCTAATAGCCCCAGTTTACGGTACAGAGGCATTTCACGTCAGAAATATCACAATTTGCAAAGGGTATGCCGATTTGCGCAAAACTTCGTGGGATTATAGTTCTATATAAGAGACTTCATTCCCCCAAATTTTTTCAAAAAAAATTCAAAATTGTTGAAGATACGCCATTTTGAATTTTAATATTAATTTTATAAAATTTTGAATATCTCGGAATATTTTTTATGGATTTTTATGAAATTTACACATATTTCAGGCAAAAGTGTGTACTTTAAAATGCAAATAAAATTAAAAAAAAAAATTAGTTTTTAAATAAAAAATTTTTTTTTAATTCTTTAAAACAATTTTTTGTTTATTTACTCCTCTCTGAGAAAAATGTTATTAACATATTTGGATTCCTTATGAATTCGTATTTAATTTCATAAAAAAAATGATGGAGACTCAACTGGGTCCGGAGATATTGAAGATTTTGTAAAAAAATAGTCCTAGTTGCAGCAGCATGCACGACTAAGGTAACGTACTACGCGACTGGATCAGTATGGTGCTATGGCGCGGCGACGCTTTTTTTTTACAAAAACTTTAATATCTCCGGACCCAGTAGAGTCTCCATCAATTTTTGTTTATGAAATTAAAGGTGAATTCATAAGGAATACAAATATGTTAATAACATTTATCTCAGAAAGGAGTAAATAAACAAAAAATTTTTTAATTTAAAAATTAATTTTTTTTATTAATTTTATTTGCATTTTAAAGTACATACTTTTACCTGAATAATGTGTAAATTTCATAAAAATTCATAAAAAAAATATTCCAAGATATTCAAAATTTTATAAAATTAATATTAAAATTAAAAATGGCGTATCTTCAACAATTTTGAATTTTTTTAAAAAAAATTTGGGGGAAAGAAGTCTTGTATATAAAACTATAATCCCACGAAATTTTGCGAAAAACAGCTGATAAATCGTGATATTTCTGACGTGAAATGCCTCTACAAGTTAGTTACAGAATAGTTCTGTGTTATGCTTATGTCACAGTTCTATCACAATGTGATGTATGTAAGAGTTACATAACTTTAATGTCACAAATATTCTGTAACTGTTGTTCCAACCTTGTTCAATAACTGTGTAGGAACATTGTTGTGTAACTGGTCTAAGCATCTGTTGGAATGCAGTTCTGTAATATACTTGCAATTACAATTAAGAACATTTCTGTAACAACGTTACGTGTCAATTCTATAATACCAAAGTCACAAATAACTAAAACTCACAACTGTCGTTCTAATCTAGTTCTGGAAATATGTCAGAACAATGTTAAACTCTGATAATAGTATTTAGAGGCCTTTTACCGTTAAAGATGTTCGTTTATTACAGAAATTGTATAAATTGCTACAAGTTTCGAGTTTGATTCAGTCCTCATCAGGCAATTTTTAATAATATAATAATAATTTTTAATCTTAAAAAGAACATAAGCAAATTAAAATCACATCTGTAATGAAAATTATTATAAGATATTAATTGTCACTAAAAAGAAAAATAATTTTCTAAAAAACAATTTAAAGGAGAAAAAACTCACCTTGTGTTTGATCACATCAATAATCATATAATAAAAGGTTAAATTAAAAATTTTTTTTTAAACCATGATGGTAAAAAAGTTTGTGGTTAAAGCCATTGTAATGAAAATTATGGTGAACGTTATGGTGAACACCATGTGAGAATCATTCAAATTTGTAGGTTAATTTAAAAAATTTATAGGTTAAGTTTAAAGATGATAAAAAAATAATGATAATAATGATAACAAAACTAATCATTCTCACATGGTGTTCACCATAATAATCTATGTGACTGATTACAATAATCTACTTTAAAAGGAAATCTTGGATTCTATTCACATTAGCAGCAGTCTAAGGGAATCAATGCTACAGACAGTCGTAGTCATTACAACAGGACTATTGTAAAATAAGGTGACCGGCTAAGCTTGCCTTCTTATTTTACTATAGTCCTTTGTACATACTAATATTGCTACATTTATGATTACAAATGACTGTAGTAAAGTAAAAAAAAAAAATTTCAACTAAAATAAAACTTTTTTATCCCACATGCACAAAAATGGCGCTTTTAGATAGCTGACGACAGGGAGTAAAGTTACTCATTTGTTCGACCATATGAAAATGGCGTCCATTTTCATATAAGTCGAACAAGTGACTGACTTTTATTCCCTGTCGTCTGCTATCTGAAATCGCCACTTTTGTGCATTAGGAATAACAAGGGCCTTTATACCCTTGTTGCTTAATATACTATTTTTTAATTAGTGACTTTTAATCAAATACTGCACATTGATTTCACTTTCCCAAGACTCCCAACTTCAAGATTAATTATATTATTAAACTAAACAATTTTATTAAACCCTAAGTACATAAATCTAACTTAAATATTAAAACGCATAACCTATTAACGATCGCTTTTTACACATATTTATGGGTAAGAATTCCTGAAGTGGGCCCCTATTTTCATTGGGTCAATGGATTTTTCTCATTCTTATATGTTTCGATAGCCTATGATGGTATAATAAAAACCTGTAAATAGTTTTCCGAAATTCGAATATTTACCAAAGTTATTCAAGGTCAAAGTAATTTGTAGCGTTTTAGTAAATTGCTAATTACTCGCGATCCGATGAACCGATTTTAATAAAAATTGGAGGAGAGTTTACCTGAAGAATTGTACTTTAGATAAATGATCAAAATTTTAATTAAAAAATATAATTTGTTTAAATAAATTAACTTTTTAATTTTTGGGGTTAAAAAAAATTTGTTCTCCATATTTTTTTTTTATTTTTTTTAATAATCAAATAGAGAATACTTTTAAGATTTTATTTCAACAATAAAAAAGTAGGATTCTCTATCACTTTAGAAAATATAATATTTTTAGTTACAAAATTTTTTTGAAAAGTTAAAGAAATTTGAAGCAAAACAAATGAATGAACTAAACTTGGTTGCGGTTAAAATTGTCGAGTTTAGTTCATTCATTTGTTTTGCTTCAAATTTCTTTAACTTTTCAAAAAATTTTGTAACTAAAAATATTATATTTTCTAAAGTGATAGAGAATCCTACTTTTTTATTGTTGAAATAAAATCTTAAAAGTATTCTCTATTTGATTATTAAAAAAAATAAAAAAAAAATATGGAGAACAAATTTTTTTTAACCCCAAAAATTAAAAAGTTAATTTATTTAAACAAATTATATTTTTTAATTAAAATTTTGATCATTTATCTAAAGTACAATTCTTCAGGTAAACTCTCCTCCAATTTTTATTAAAATCGGTTCATCCGATCGCGAGTAATTAGCTATTTACTAAAACGCTACAAATTACTTTGACCTTGAATAACTTTAGCAAATATTCGAATTTCGGAAAACTATTTACAAGTTTTTATTATGCCATCATAGGCTATCGAAACATATAAGAATGAGAAAAATCCACCGACCCAATGAAAAATAGGGGCCCACTTCAGGAATTCTTACCCTTATACATGACTGAAACCTTCTTATTTACTACCCAAGTAGAAAT